CCCAATTTTATTGTTAGAACTTTAGAGTAGGCCTACGCCGTAACCCTGACAAACGACCTTGACCCTTAACCTTCACACCATACGCTAAACCTTTAAATTTGGTCTTTAACTCATAGCCTTCAAGATTACCTCAAAAATCCTAACATTTAAACATGTAGTCTATTTTTCGTCCCCTGAATTCTGATTGGTCAATTTAAGGTCTTTTAAAAATCAATCTACCTATCTTCAAAGTGTTGCCCTACTTAATCATTTATTCATAATAATTGAATTATAAGATATGCTCTGTTCCTTAGAATGTACATCTCACATTTTCTATCATAGTAACTTGATGGTTTAGTGACTTATAATCCAACATTTCCGATAGTTATAGTTCTAATTTGTGTCTATACGTTATGAAGACTTAGGAAATGGTGGCATTCATTGTGACCAGGTATGCAGAAAATTGTTATGTTTCTACGAAACAAGCAATAAAACATCTAAACCATCATTTAAGAATGATGCTTACTTCAGGTTGAAGTTATGTAATGATTATTAATGACAAGAAAATAACTGTTTAATGAAATTCAGAGAAGTCAACTGTTGTTCAAAACTGGATATGAGTGCATACATACTAAGATGTTTTGTATAATTTGGAGAGAGTTTTTGTCAGGAAAGTGCACAAGTTGACTTCGGAGATTTGAAACTGTGAATCTCAACTCAGAGATTCAAAGTTTTCTTACTCTTTATGAAACAGAAGGTCAAGGACACAACCTCATTTTTGAGTTAATTGTAGTGTTCAGTTCGCCATGCTTCCCAATTGTTTCTTCTATTGTATCTATTCACAGTCAATATACACAAAATTAAACTCAGAACCCTTAGATCCCATGACTGGTACGTTAATTTCAGATCACTAATTTGAAGTTCAATGGTCCGAACTTCTAGTTATTCCCAGTTTTAAACGTATCATAATCCATGTACGAATTATGTGCTAGTGACAAAAAGGGGATAATCCGAAGCTTTAAAATCCTTATTATTTTGAGAAATTTAGGAGAAATTTACTGTGGTATTTTAAGAAATTTGTGTTAAGGAAAGATATTAATGAGATAATGAGAACCATTTTCTCTCTCGTCTTCAATAGTTTATTTTGCAAAAAGAAATATTAATACGTCAGATCCCTTTTTCGTTCATATCGAAAAGATTACATGATCTTTTTGTTTAGAAAAAATAATAATAATTATGCTCAGTGGTCTAGAGGTTAAGCGTTCTCGCGCAAGACCGAAGGTCGTGGGTTCTAATCCAGAGAGCGTGGTCGTGGATGTGCACTGCTAGGATGAAACGGCCGTCCAGTGCTTCCAGGTTTCTCGAGGTGGTCTAACTTTAATCGACTCATGAATTAACTATTAAATTACTACAATCTCCACAAAACCCCTTTCTGATAATTTATTTGTTTCTATAATATTAAGTCCCGTATTCTGAACAAATTAACTGTGACATATAATGTAGGCTGTTTTGAATGTTATTATCAGTCTATAACCATATTGTCAACTTGGTTAACTCTGCAAATTGCAACGTCCTAATAGATTTTCGTAAAATGTACTAAGCTGTCAGTGATTAGTGTATGAAAACATACTATTTACTAACTAGGTATTACGTAGTGAACTAAATGCAACAGATAATGTTAATTATTTGGCCGCGTTCCAATAAATCAGCAATACCATGATCATTAATTTTAGAATGTAATTTTGAAAATTCACTTAATTCGTCTGCCTAAGGAGTTTGCAATGAAATAGTGGCTTATTAAACTCGCCTTAAACACTAATTGGACGTGAGCGAACACAAAGTAACTTCCCAAACTGACACACTACAAAAGGTAGAATCCATTCATATTTACAAAGGATGCAATGATGCATAATAACGACTACTCAATCGCAACAAATCCATACAACCACAGGAACGAATTTAAAACATTTTAATATCTCAGTTTAGAAATACAGAAACGTAAAACCAGAAGAAGGAAGAACGTAGTGAGGAAGATTCCAAAAATCCTGACATATTAACATCTTTGCTTAGCAAGGGAGCTCACCAGATTTTTAGGAGAGGTGATGTGGTTAGTTATAGGTAAGCATTATAGTCTCTAATCTCTTTGGTTGACGAATGGCCTACAAAATAACAATTTAATAATCGTTTTCAGGTCGAATGAATTTCAATAATGTTTATTTTAGGTCAAGTATTTTCCAGTATATGTACATTTTTGCTATATAAAACGACTAACACTTTGCTGACAAGTTATTCTTTTTTTGACATTCATTCCGTGTGAACAGTAGATTGATAACTCTGGCTTTGTTAGCACTCATCAAACGATCGATTGTAATCCATCTTCAATATCCATTAGATCAAGTCCAAAACTAGATTGTAGACAACTATGTCAATGCTCTTAGGAGTTTCAATAGTTCACAATGAGAATTCTATTCAATAAATTTCTAAATGGAAGATGGTCGCGAATTGTCGTGGACTAATTCGAGTTAGACAATAACACTGTTGGATTCCAGCTTAATGGTTTAGATGTTAGTCGTTTGCGCGAGACCGAAGGGCCTGTGTTTGAGTCCCGTATCTGAGGTTGTAGATGGGCACTGCTGAATAGTCTCATACCGGTATGAAACAGCTGTCCAGTACTTCCAGATTTTCAATGGTGGTCTAACACTAATCGGTTCATGATTTTGATGAAATTCAATAATCTCCACAACCCCAAACTGAAAATTTCTGAATAATGAACAGAAACAAAAAAAGATATGTTTTAAACTTTCATTCAAAACCTTAATCATTATTTTGATCGCTTATACTTGATTCCCATTGTTAAACTCTCATCCTTGACTTCCTGTTATTCAATTAATCATTTTTGGTTTTGAGATAATTGTTTGAATTTGTATTTTTTTTTAATGGCAGAAAATTTAGGTAGTTTGTGCGAAAAATTACAAAGTTACTTACACGTGATTGTTTTTTCAATTTACATTGAATTCGGATAAAGTTGCACTGATTATGTGCGTTTATCGGTGCTTGATAAATTGATTTTGCATTTATTTATGTGAACAATGAATATATTTTTCTTTTTTTCAAGAAAATTATCATATCGACTCTACGTATATATTAGTGTATGGAATGATTATAAAGACTTGTGCCACAGAAGAAGACTTATGGTGATGTTTTCATTTCTGAGTTGAATGGTTTATTTGTGGAATATCATTTTTGATGTTCTGGACAAAACCTATAAGATATAGGAGACAATGTAAGCTTTTAAATTGAAGGATCCTTTTCAGAGAACTTTACCTCATCCAAATTAGCTTAGAGATAGAAACAAGTAGCTTGTGACTTTAATTTTTATATCATTTGGATTTAAATATATCACAGTTAATAACTTATACAATTTTAACGTTGTTTCAAATTCCAGAATCACGTAATCAAAAGTAGAGGATATTTTAGTGCAACCAAATATATCGAGATACATATTAAATGTTCAATATAAAAAAGATAGTCATTTTAAACCAGTAGCCCATTAGATAACGGTACCAGTTTTTATTTTAATTGGAACACCAACACGAGGATAAAAATGCCACCAACTAACGAGTTCTGAATTTTAAAGTGAGTCATTTAGAAAGCTTCGTATATGTGAATATATCTTGAGTGGTCAGATATCATCACTGGTGTTCATGTGATCTAACATCTATTTTGCTATGCATTTTCAATATATATTGTGTTTATATGAACCTAGAAACGTAATACATATTTCACAGCTCCGATCGGCCATTTCGTCATATTTTATGAAACGTTATCATTACTTCTCTTTTAAACTTTTCAGCATAATGCTCACTGTACTTCCACTGAACTTTATAACAACATATATTGACAAGAACTAAGTATTCAAGAAAAATCAAAATGTCATTCGTTGCAGTAGAAGACATTTGATTTTTTACCGCGATTGATATTCAATTGAAAAAAAGGTTTATAATATTACATTAATAAATATTATCCTTCTTACTTTGACCCAATAAAAAGGTGAGTAAAAGCACAAGCAATAAAGTCAAAATAAAAAGGATCACAAACACACACAAAAACAAATGTTTGACTAGCGGAAGTATTGTAATATTTGTAATCATCTTCATCATACCATCACAGTTATCAAACCACTATTACAATGATAATAACATCATTAAGAGAAAAATAGTGGGAAAACACAATCATAGAAATATGACGGTGATAATAAAGATAAATCAAAATGAATATGATAATGAAAGGATATTGTTTTAATAAATAGGATAATTGATGTTTCTTATTTATTATTCACTTTCATTATTGCTTTCTCTTCCCCTCTTTATCCTTCCGGATACTTAGGAAAGGCCTTAATAGCAAACAATAGTGAAAGTTGAATTTAAGAAGTTAAGCATTACATGTTAACAGATCAACTTTACTTCATGTCGATCCACAACAATGATCTGATATAAATTGCATAGAGAAATTATTTGCTGCGTTCATGTGTGATTGAGTGAAAAGATACCATAAATGGTAAATATATAGGTAAATGTTTAAACAACTTTGGAATTGATCAGAGATAATTTAATTTCGGAGTGAAATGTAAGTTATTAAAAATAAGCAGATAAAAGTTAAAAGACAGCAGAAACTACTTATAAACGATATAAGTACCATAAATATAATCAACAAAATGACTGAAAATAAAAACTTAATTATGCAACATTCAGATGAAGGACAGTTGGGATTGTTAATAAACTAGTGAATAAATAAAAAGAAAGCAGCTACCAAAAAGAGAAAATCAGCTTACAATAAATAAATACATAAATGTATATTAATGAGGAAAACCACAAAACATAATCATGTATATTAACTTTTTGTGAATTTTTATGATTGTACTGAAAGTATTGAAAATTTTATTCTCATTCTTACTGATATCATTTAGGCTTTTTACTACGGTCTTTGTGATCTTGTGCCTATTTGCGTGTATGTTCATTTCATTATCTTGCACATTCAGGACAGACAACCCCATCATCCGAAACAAGGAATCCTTTGCCTACCAGACTATTTTGACATTTACTACAATTGAAACAATCAGAATGCCAATGTTTATCTTCAAATGTTACAAATTTGCAGCCCCCAAAACCTGGATTTTATTCATTTGTTTTAAAATGTGATGTATGTTTCCCATGACAGGAAATGTTTTTCGAGGAAGAAAACAGAAGTAAATAAAATAATTCAAATATTATGGCAAAGTCAAGAAATCTTTAATATATATAGTATAAAGAGATATTTATAATTACTTTGAAAGTTCCCCAAGACTCCAGGAAAATTTCTGAAATTGTTCATTATAAACGTTTTAGGAAAGCTATATATTGGTACATTATGCTTCTCTCTACCCTAATTAATCAAGTGCCGAATATTCCATCGATTTTCGTATCTTTTTTTAGAAGTCCCTTTAGTCCCAAGATCTACTTGTAATTTTATAACCAACCATTAGTTCCTGTAAATCGAATAATCTTGGAAGCCAAGAAGTCCTCACATCTCCCTTTAGTTTAGTCACCATTCAAGAATTGGAGTTTGTGAAAATCTAGAAATCATCTACTGATTCAGTATCACAAATGTACTAAATGTTTAAAATAAATGAAAAAAACTATTAGTGGATTTACTTCGACAGAAAACAGTGCATAGCTAATTATGTATGACTGTGTTACAGTGTAGTTGTAAATAACCATAGGAATATTGTAGGTTAGCTAGTTTTTAAGGGATGAATACTTGATTATCCACATATTCTCGAACTGTAGGTACCAAAGTTTTCTAATCCATTCACATCTAACAGGTTTCAGTTGGTGAAAATATTAGAAATATATTACTAAACTGTATTTAACGTATACTGAGATTATTTTTAAGTGTAAATTAAGGACTGGTACATTTTATTGTTTATCAACATGTGAATGAATTTATTTCACCAGGAAGAAATTAATAATCAAGTAAATAAAATAAGATTAATGAGTTTTTATCAATCCTTTCAAACGTCTCATTTCATGATACCTTTGGTCGATGAAGTTTAACGAAATATAATTATCAGAGTTTTACCCACCCTGCTGCCACCAAAAAAAAAACTTACCACTAATTGGTTTTGTACACTTTGCACAATGTTTTGCAAATAATTGTGTATAACAATCTGCACAATAAGGTTTCTCATCACGCGATGTAAACTTTTGACCAGCTAATTCACAACTGCAATTTGTGCATAAGAAACACGTTTTATGCCATGGTTGACCTTTATAAGTTACTCCACCCTTTTGAATGGCCTATTATGTCGGGAATGAAAAAAAATAAGTCGACGAAAAACTACTCATATTAGTTCAATTTAATTATGCATAGAAAAAGTGTTGTCATACAAAATGGTAGGAAAGTTGTTTTGTCATAGATAGTTGAAATCATGAGTCAATTGTACGGTAGCTCAATTTCGTGGATTGGTTGAAGTTAGACATTAACACCATTGAATGCTGATCCAATGGTTAAGCGCTCGCGCACGAGATTGGTAAGTCCTGGGTTCAAATCTTGCGGTGACATGGTCGCGGATGTGCACTGCTGAGGTGTCCCATACTGGGACGAAACGGCCGTCCAGTGCTTCCAGGTTTTCCAGGGTAGTTTAGCTTCATTTGACTCATGATTTCAACTTGTGAAATTTCTAAAATCTCCACAAAACCTCTTCTGATAATTATCATAGATAGTTTCAGTGTTACAACGAAAATAATAACACCTTATGAATGTAGAGCTAGACGAATACTTTAAAATGGTATTGAGTCAAAAAATTCAATCTTTGTTGAAATAATCTTTTAAAAAAATATATACAACTTGGAAGAGTTATAAGTATGTATGATTAGTATGTGTGAACGTGCTCAGTGCACAGTTTGAAATATCACCGAATCATTATAATACTAGCACAATAAGGCCCCCACAACAATATAAGTCAAACTAAATAACTATTAACAATTATACAAAAGATCAAATGACAAAATGGACAAGGACCCAATAAACAAGTCTACCTAATAAAAATATTTCAGTGTAAAGAAAATAGTAGACATGTTTATGAACATAAAAGAACTTATGGGTCATGTGAAAGTTAGTTCTACAGATGCTTCTTTTCATGATATATTCTTAATTTCCTTCACTTACTTTCTTATTGTTTGAGAAAACAGAGCGAAATCTCAAAAATCGCGAGATTTTGAAAATACAAATTAGATGTTGAAAGTTAATCATCAGAAACATACTTAAAATTTCAATCTAAGAATCATTTGTTTGTTTATTTTCAATTAATGGTAATGTTGTGCATCTTTAAAATAGGATACGTCAAAATGTTACTACTGAAGAATATTTGTATGATGTTATCAATGTAAACATATCGCTTGTCACATGTATCATTCCTCTGAGTTAATATTTTCAGGATATTTCAATTCAAGTTACAAAAAGAAAGAAAAAAGAAATATTTCACGCTGAAAAATACTTCACAAACATCACATGTACTAATTTGTTAATAGATTCAACTCCTGTTTTGTAATAATAATAATTATTATTATTATCAGTACACAGCAATCATATTTTCATCAATCTATCAGTTAAGAAAATGTCTTGTATCACGTTTATTGTTATATAATCGGTGCGTACTTGAATAAATTTTGTTTAACTGCATTCCAATGTCTTTTTTTAGAGGTCTTATCAGAATGAGATAAATAAAAAAATTTTGAAATACATATGATCATAGATTAACGTTAGCTGAAGAACCATTCATAAAAAAGGTTACAATTGAACAGCTGTTTAGTTTTAGTCTAGAATCATCCAGTAGTGCATATTTATGACCGCGCAGGGAATATAACCCGGGAAATTTAGGTTTTGTAGTGAAAATGTTACTTTTAGATTACTGAGTAGAAATTCAGTGGTTCATGTTCCCAACTATTAATTTCTGAAATAATATGACAATCAAAAAATGTTATGACAGATACTTATTTAACTTTGAGTATGACTGGACTCTATGAGTTGCGGATTCTCACTAGGATTTTGGAGATTTAGGTCAAACTTATTTACTAAGGCTTACACAACTGTTATTTGGTTTGTCGGTTCATTTTGGAGATGAGTCCAATCATCAGACAGCCTTCCGGTTGAAGTTAGTTCATGTGTAAAACCATCTTAACTTTGAAATCGCCATTGCAATCAACCAACTAATATATATAATGTTACTCCATATTAAATCAATTGCTATCAAATGAAGTAATCAGATAATATTCTTTCTCATTCAGATACAATTTGATACACTTAAATATATGCCAAATTTTTTTATTTAGAAAGGAAGAATTTATCTGAAGGTTGTCTGCTATAATAGATTAATGTAGTTAGAAAATGTGTTATTATATTTACTCATTAAAATTATTCAGATATTTGATAACCACCATTTCGATAAGTGTAAATCAGTATTTTCTAACTGAAGGTTGTTAAACTAGACCCAAATCAACTGGCCCAATTCAAAAGTACTGTACACATCATCTGGGGAATTCAAACCCAGAAGAATAAATCAATTATTTAGTTTTCATATCACTAGGATTTGATTGGTGAAAATCTCTGACTATCATAAACGACGGTTGTATCCTATGCTATTTAGTTCATATATGATTGTTTAATCATTGAAACCATTTTGAATTATTTTTGACATTGTTTCAATTTAAACGATTTATAGTGATACTAACAAATCTTAATACTTATGTTTTATATTGGAGAGTTGATTAGATGAAACAAAAAAATCATTGTTGATTTCACTTGGTGTTGTTTTACTTGTATCTTTCCATTGTTATTTAGGACTACAATTGATCAGTCTCATGTTGACATATGTGCATTCTGTACGGATTGCTTCAATATAACCTTAAGTTACAAACTTTTTAATCATTGTGTCTTAAATGAAATTAATCATAAAACCTATTATAAATAAATTCAAACAATACGATTCGGTTTGTTTATTATTTTCGTTTTTATTTCACCAGGCAATAATATATACAACATTTTTACTTTGCTGTACTATCCAAATTATCTACTGAACAAATTGATTTCATTTGAAGGTGCAACTCGGAGATAATTTTTTTTTTAATTCAACCAACATAAGATAAATGTTAAAACAAACGAATAATTCATGTTCATTGATCAAAGTAAAGAATTCAAATTTTCTTTTTTAATGAGAGAAAAAAATATTAAAAACAAGAACACTATTGATTATTGATAACTTTTTTTGTACTGATCTATGGCATAGGCTTTTAGACAAGTACATATGTGCATGTATTTGAATAAAATATTGTTTAGTATGTTCTAATTTCCTTCGGTATATAATCCTACTTTTAGGACATTTATTGTTCACAATTAAATTAACTGAAACTATTAATCGTAGTTTTAAATTCTTCAGTCCAACACAGTCAGATTTATGATATTATTAAAATGCATAATTTTACAGCTAAGATTTAGTTTGGGGTGATTGTTCTTAGTTGTTTCCACTAACCACTTAGTATAATTTGTTCAATTCTACAAGCGATCAATGGTTAGATTAAGTATGAGTGATACAGGATAGAGTTCTGAAGTAGAACTTAGCCTTGATAATAGGTATCAACAAGTACGAAACAAGATCAAATAAAACTTCTACCGTGATATGAAATCTGCTCATACTGTAAACCAATATTCAGTCATCTAGGTCAGTAAACATATTAGAATCATCATCGATATATCCTAGTAAACTCTGATGATCGAACAGAATTATATTGGTTCCTATTTACTGACCGATGGACAACACTTCTTATGGTTGAGATTCATGAAATCAAAATAAACAATTGGTATGGAATTAAGTAGTTGAAGTAGATTTACTAATTCTTTAAGCTGAATGTGCTTTTTTTTACCAGAAGAATGTGTTTAGGTCTTGACCTTTTGTCTTGGTTATTATTACAATTATTATTTTACTGATGACAATTTCTTGAAGTGAATTATGTACATTAGATGTCAATTAGATGAATACAAATGTTGTACTATGTTTATTCTAGTACAAATCCATCAATAAAACCTTATTGTAGATTGCTTCAATATCTCTGTTTAACCTTTTCTCTTCCTTCACAAAAGCTATTCTCATGTTAACTATACTAAAGCGACACTTGTAATTTACAAATAAGAGATTAACGAGTTATACAGAGCGATGACTTGGCTTGAATCTAAGACACTGAGTATACTATTCTAAAGTGCTTATCCCAAGTTCATGAAGTCATTAATTTTTATTGAGAACTCAAATCGTACTCTGATGAATGATCTATAGTGGTGTATGCATATATGTTATAGAAAGAGAGATTACTTTGTGGCATGAGTCAGTTAGTAATAAAATTATTAATAGGTTGAGAACTAAAGTTACTGCTATTCACTGAAATATACGATTTATATCTGACAAATAATCAATTGTAAGTAATTATTAGATTGAAACGGCTGTTCATCACCCATCAGTTTTAACTTGTGGTTCGGTGAACACCAACTTGTAGGTGGAAACAGCTGAACAGAGTTCTTGATCTAATATATCAGAATCCCTTATGATTTTTGCTAACATTCGATTCCTGACAAAGTGAACTGGATGAGTTATTCAACTGGATGATTACCTAACTCTTTACTAGTACAGTAGAAACAAGCAGAAATACCATAAAATTAGTAGAACTACCCTGCATGCCACAAGCGACTAATCTGAAACGTTTTAGTAGTTTCACTGAGACCGAAAATATTTACTGCCTAAGACAACAACCTGTTGGTTGTGGTAATCCATTTTACATAAACCATACTTACCACAGAGAAATCATTTGACTTTGATCTATTAAGTAGAACAAAAGAGTAAATTAATTTCACTGACCTTATTACATTTACAGCATTTTTGTGAATATTTCTCTTCATAACACGGTACACATACTACACCATCATCTTTTGGTACGAAACTTTTAGCTCCAATGGGTTGTTTGCATTCTATGCAAGTAAAACACTCTTCATGCCATGTTGATCCTTTATATTCGTATTTACGCGAACCAGCCTTGAATATCTTCTTGCAACCATCACAGCGCGGTGAAAATTTCTCATCATAACATTCTGGACAGTATAAATCATTGTCTTTTGTGGCGAATGGTTTATCAGCTAAAGATGCTTGACAAACACTACAGAAGAAACACCTTTCATGCCAATGTTTATCCTTGAATGAAAGATCCTATGAAAATAGTGAATGCAGTGAAAGGAAACTGAATTATGACTGATTACTATTATCACCTGTTCCATCAATTGCACAAAAAAATATTTTTAAGAACTTCATGAAGTCGAAATACATTTTGTAAACAGGTAGATTCCATCAAAATTGTTTATATTTTTAGAGAAAAAGAGATCCCTTCGCTGAACTTCGTGTTTCTTAATTTTTAATGTCAATTTTAGAGAATTTACAAGTGAAGTAAGTCTATGACCATGAAAAGATTATAACAATGTTTCTCCTCTTTTTTGAATTTCTTGGACTTGAAATTCTGATTGCATTCTAATACTTTATATATGACAGATTCCATATTAGTATTTAACTATCTACTCGGTATTTATTGGATTTGTAAATTTCATCAGTAGTTTAACAATGAGTGTTTATATTTATTTATTTATTTATTTATTTATTTTAACACATAAGTATAGGTACAGGGAGGCACCAAATACATATGCGCCACACAAATCTCAATTGATTTGTGTGAGGGCTGTGATACTGCTCGGGTGCCCAAACCGAAGCAGGTGGTTTTCTTAGGGGGCCACACCCCGAGCCTTTGACCTGAACGTCTGACCCACAAGACAGTGGAGCATCGTGAGGAGATGCAGTCCCATGGTAGCCGGTGACCAACGATTGGTTCATACGCCATTTGTTCCTTCAGGATACTGGAGCCCATGTGCACCATTGGTCTGGCTTCAACTGACTCATGATCTTAGTCATTGAACAGACGATTATTATTTAGACAGGCGGTTTGTGAGTTGATAAATTTTGGGAGTCCTGTTTCCCGCCTCAATAATTCTCCACAACAAGCAACTTAAACATGATATGTTCGTTTATTTTCTACAGCTTTGCTCACAATAATTTCAATTCCGAAAACAAATACATCGCTAAAATTTGGAATAGCCACTTATGAAAAAACCCACTGTAACCAACTAAGTGTAAATCAATAATAGTAATAAAACCAATAGAATTTGGAAGGTAGGTCGGAGGTTGAAACCAAATATACAGAAATGTTATTCATTAAAAAATTTTGTCTGTGGACTATCTAAAATACGTCTGTAGAATCTAAAATCTATACTTCGGTTTACACATCTCAGCAGAGGAAATTTATTGATCCAATTTATTGGACTTCTGAGATGGAACAAATGAAAAAAGTTGGATTGAGAAAAACAAATAGTGAACAGTGAAAACAAACGAAGTACTTTCTCATAATATTACCTCTATAGATGGTAGCATGCATAACTGATATGAATAATCAGTTCCTTATATGATCATAAACCTACAATCAAATAATGATAGATAAGCGAGGTCAGTTAAGAGGATATTTTACGCACCTAATTTAAGATGAGCATGTTCTGTTAGACCAGTGATGTCTACACAAAGTAAGGGTAATTTACTTGTGTTCCCCTCTTCGATGTTCATCTACAAATTCGGCTGCTTCGACAGAAATGGCTATATCGAATATACTACCAGACAACTTAACCAACGAACAAGTGAGCATCTACAACCTTGTTTTTGAAGGGACCAGATAAAGACAATACATATCTCTATCATGCCACAACTAGTTGATAGTAATTATATGGCAGATAAAAGCAAATCGTTCCTTGTGATCCCTCGTACACCTTCGTCGTTTCCCAATAGGATTTGATCCCATCTTCTATATATATCAGAAGCGATAGGGGCCCCAACCTATAACCTTATGGGTATTATCAAGGCTTGACTTGATAATTTCAAATAAATTGAGCATTGGGTAAACTGTTGCCAATAGAAATAATATATTTTTAGTATCACAATGAGTAGAGAAATTAAATTTTCTTACTTTTCATGACTCAGTGTAATCCAATGTTTCAGAGAATAAATAAATAAACAAATTAAGTTCACCTAATTTTAAATCATAACCTAGTTTATAAAGTTAATTTATGTGCTGAAAAGAAATTCGTGACATTCCTGCCCCATCTTTAGCTGGTAATGACTTAATGAACGATTTTATTAATTTTGACGCGCGCTATCTAAAAGGACAGTGGTATTGTTTCTCGTTGAGTTAATTAACTGTTTTGATCGCAAATTACGCATCAAAACTACTGTTTACACTTTAATTGAATCTACTCCAGTTAAAGTGATATTGTATTGATTGTTTTGATTCTGCTTTTGTGTAATTATTGCACCAAAGCATACTTGGTCGACTTTTACTTGATAATTTAGTCAAGGTTTTAGCATTTTTTTTTTACATATCCTCTTTGTATCACCATTGTATTTGGTTTTCAAGATGGCCAAATCGGCTCATAAATGTGGACAACCATGTTGCTTATTCCCCGTGGAAGAAGGGATGCAATGTGATAAGTGTAAGAAGTGGTTCCACAAGATGTGCACCCGACTAAGCCCCGCTGCATATAAAAGGTGCTCGAAGCCCAACTCTCATTGGCTTTGTAGTTTTTGTTGCTCAAACAAAACAACACTCATCCAGGAAGCCATTAGCCTCCTGGTGTTGGCTAATAAGAAGGTTGGCGAGGGCTGCACTGACAATATTGGTGCTGATAGCGAAGATCGCGTTAGTGTCGTAAGTGCTGTCACGGCGCAAGTCAGACATCTAACTGCGCTACCCGAAATCAAAATTTTTACCTCGAAACAATCAATGAGTGGCACCTCATTAGATATTGGTGGCCATGTTGCTACAGCAGCAACTGGTGATCCAGATAAAACAATTATTGTCCCGAGCAGTTCCAATGTAGATGCTACGGCTGACGGAATATGGATGAAGTGTAAACGCAGAAGAGTAGGAAAGACAGCTAAAAGTAAGGACTGTTTACTTGATAAGTCTTTGGTGGACTCTCAGACCACTCGGCCAAAGTCCCAAAGTAAAGCCTCGTCAAACATTGTTGTGAGTCACTCGCTCGACTCCAATGACTCTGTTACAATAAAAACTAATCGTAAGATACCAGTAGTTAATATACAGGATGTTAGGTCACGATCGATAGCCGTAAACACGATTCCTAAAGAAACTAAACCACTCCCTAGCTTAATTATTTGGAATCTAGAGGAGTCGATAGACAACGATCCTGCTAAGAGACATGCACATGATCTGAAGTTAGTAGAATCCGTGGTAAGAAACGTACTACCTGAAGAGGTTTCAGGAGTACATATCACGAAAGTGATACGACTCGGTAAATGGGTTGGAGGCGAGACCCAACCAAGAAGGATCTTGAAGCTGGTTCTAGGGAGTTTTGAAGAACGAGACATATTATTGAAAAACGCACAAAAAATTCGTGATTCAAATATTCGTATCCTACCAGATTGGCCGCTTGAGGATCGAATCAAGTGGAAGAATGCTCTTACGGAGTTAAGAACTCGCAAGTTAAATGGCGAAACTAACCTTACCATTAAGGGTTTTCGGGTAGTCAGGTCTTGGAAGCCAATGCTTCCGAGGCCTGTATGGGTAGAACGAACGATTACCATAACACCTTAAGTGTGTGCTACACGAACGCCCGTAGTCTTAGGAATAAAACGTCCGAGCTAAGTCTGATGGTGGATGAATTAAGTCCCGATATAATTGTCATTACAGAAACTTGGTTCACCGTAGATATAAAATGTTCTCCCATCATTGCAGGCTATATCTGTATTAGAAGTGATAGAGTTTTAAGCCGCAAGGGGGGAGGCATAATGTTATACATTAGGGACCACTTTCGTATACAATCAATCATATCGGAGGCTCATGTTAGTGGTACATGTGAGGTAGCATGTTGTAAGATTAAATCTAGAAATGGGTTAGTGACTATAGGCGGAATATACCGTAGTCCGTGTTGTCTTGCTGACGACTTTTTCTTAAGACACATCTGTTCTTGGAGTATGGCAGAATGTTGCCTCATCATTGGGGACTTCAACGCTCCGAACATAAACTGGATAGAGCTTACAGCTCCAGGTGGAGGTTTTGATAGCGAACTTTTATCAACAGATATTCAGTGTGCACTTGTCCAATGTATCACTGAACCGACACATATTGATCTGAAACGTGATCCGTCACTGCTGGACCTCGCCCTCACCCACCACTGTGAGGACGTCTTTGATATTCAGCACCTTCCTCCACTAGTGAACAGTGATCACGTTGTACTTCACTTTAAGTTTAGGACACATGGTATACGATTTTTATCTGCTCCACCCCGTCCCAATATCTGGCGGGCTAATATTCCGGCAATCAGAGACTGTGCGATCTCTACTGATTGGTCGGTTGACGCAGATGGATCGATCGAAGACGAATGGATTAAGTTTAAGGCTACATTCGAGTCCGTAACGTCGCCGTTTATCCCATGGTCAGCACGTAAGCTATCGCACTGCCCTCCATGGATTAATAAGGAAACCCGTAAGCTGTTAAAGCGTAGGAAACACTTTTGGGACTTATTCTTGTTGACAGGTCATGCATCTTTTAAGCGTGAGTACCGAAAACTCCGGAATATTTGTAAGAAAACAATAGCTAAATCCCGTATTACTTACGAACGACAGTTGGTATATGATAGCCGTACTTGTCCAAAACGATTGTTTTCGTATGTTAAACGGCAAATAAAACGTAGCGATAGTATTCCCCCATTATTGTTACACGATAATTCAGGTTTACTAGCTGAATCAGATCGAGCAAAAGCTGAGACATTTTCAAACTACTTTAGCGAAGTCTACTCTACGTTTATTGTAACAAATACTTGTTCCAATTACGCCGCGATACCAGCCATCGAATCTATACAGGTGACTGAAGAAACTGTCCTTCCGTTGATAATTAACCTCAAACCTTGTAAGATACCAGGTTCTGACGGGTTACATCCATGATTGCTGTCATCTCTTGCAGACATTATTTCAAAACCGCTCGCGACACTCTTTAACATGTCCCTTTCACTCGCTCAACTACCTAGGGATTGGAAAGATGCTATTGTCAGTCCTATATTTAAGGATGGTCAGAGACACAACGTATCTAACTACCGACCTGT